AAGCCTTTTGCTTGCTTTACTTCCACAAACCCATTTTAAGTTTCAAATAAAGGAGATCAATTTCACTATATATTTTTCATTTGTTCTGTGATTCTGAGCTACATTAATTGGGGCAGTTCACACACAGGAAGATGTAACTTCAACAAATCTATCCCCTGCTAGCTAAGAAAATTCTCTCTCTAGAAAAGAGAGATTTTTTCTCCAGAAAAGTTAGTCTATTTCTTGGCAGAAATTTTGTTTTACCATTTTAGTGTTTTCAGTGGCCTTCATGCCCCCATCCACGTCCTGCCCTCTCTTATTTTGAATGGAAACACTAGTCAATCCAATGACCATTGAGTGGGGTTTTTCTAGGTGCCAGGAACCATGTAAGGTATCTTCCTGAACAGGATCTCTTTTAAGCTTCCCCATGTCCTGTTGGTGGAAATCATAATTTACAGGTAATGATCTTGGGACTGAGGGAATTTAGGGAACTTGCTCCAATTTCACAGCGCAGCTTTGAGCTGGAGTCTTTCAACTCATATTCCCTCAACTTATTCTGGCTTCCCAGGACTCTGGGCCACAGAAAATTCTTATTTCAATGAAGTAGGAGGCCAGCCTTCACCAGAACTCCGGAATCTGGAAAATGAGCAGGGACATCTGAAGTGTTAGGGAAAGTCTGGAAAGAAACTGGAAGATCTCAGCAGAGCCAGGCTTTGGTACCCCCTGGAAGCATGGCACAAACCCCAGGGACTGTCATAGCAGAGATGAGGATGGGTGATGTTTGGTATCAGGCTGGATTCTCATTTTCTCTACTGGGGTAACACAGTCAGAATTCTTATGTGGCCATGGTCCCTTGAAGTTGACCAGAATTTCATTCAGGCCTGGACCACGCTTTTCTCCCACTGATGCTTCCAGGGCCAGCTAGCCAGTGCTGGAAATGGGGAGGCAGCAAGCAGGCTCTTACATTGTGATTAGAAGGGAAAAATGCCAGAGAGGAGAGAGATGTCAGGGGCAGAGACTAAGGGCTGACATATAAGTTTAAAACAATCCACATAGCCAAATCATTTCTGAGCTACAGCCTATCTGCCTTATTCCCTACTGGGGGATTCTGGGAGCAAGGGCTAGGAATGTCCTAAGAGGCTCTTGCCTCTGACCTCCCCCTGACCTGCACCTGGTGGCCTGACAACACAGGTGACAGCATAGCTGGAATGCACACGCTGCCCACAGCTAGTCCCCAGCACGCCCTGGCCCCAGCCCCAGTGACAAGCCTCCCCCTCCCACCCCTCACATATACACCAGTGCAGGTCTCCATAAACACCTGCCTCTGGGGTTTGCCGCTGAATAGGATGCTGGCCTAGGCACGTCAGCCTGCAGCCCTCAGGGAGAGAGGATGCTGCCCAGCACCCAGTAGGCCTGTTGACTAGAAGAGTGCCACTCCAGCAGAGTACAGTGGCTAGCTTGTGCCAGGCTCTGGGGACACAGAGTGGAAACGAGCACTAGCCCTCCTCAAATCAGGGCTCAGGCTTGGCTTGGAGGTCTCCTTTACTTTTTGATATCCGGGAAGCTAAGTTCCCTGTCCTGTCCATTTTTAGTGGTGTGAGATTCCCTGCAGACTTAGCGTCTTCCATTTCGGCATTTCAGAGACAGGCAGACAATTGGATTCTAAGGTCAGCTCCTCACACATTGGCATGTGTATGGCCAACTCTTGGAAGTGAACAGAGTTCTAGATAAAACTGTATTCTCATTCCAAACTGGATAACTGAGTGTTAGACTAAGGTGGGGGCACAAGAATGACACAGTTACCCACAATCAGGTTGTGTGCTGAGTATTTTAAAAACGGCCAGAGAAGAGGAGAATGCCAATTTTGGGGGCTGTTTATGGGGGCAAGACAGCAGAGGGAGGAGTAGCCAATCTATATTTTGTCCTCTTTCCATTTTAAATTACCACCTCCCCCAATCAGCAGAGTTTACCAATTAAAGGCCAACCTCTCTTGATTTCTTGGCTTTAAAGGACATTTCGATTCACCCAGGCAGACAATTAAATCCCCCTCGTGCCTCTCCCTTCCCAGAGCTCAGGAACAAATGCATCCCTATCTCTTGCTAGCATCGAGCAGTGGGAAAGAGTTGATCTCAGGTGCTCACCTGCAGTTATCAGAATGCCAGACTCATTTAGGGAGCTCAACTCTGGAAGCTGAGGCGATCCCTTCATTGATTGTGGCAAGCGCTGTTTAGATTTTGCCCTTGCTCAGTAAACAACTAAAAGTAACTGCATGATTTCTCCCCTGCATTCCGCAATCTCTCTCCTCCTTCCCTCCCTCCTCTCTCTCACACACCACGCGAGACACACACACACATGCACACCTTCCCTTCCTCAGGCCCAGGCCTCTGGGCTCCTGGTCATCATAAAAGAACAGGCAGATCACTATCCCTGTATAACACCCTTAGCTAAGGGCCTCACCACTCCCAGCTGCTGGACGTTTTGCAGGGTTTGGGGTGGGTTCTGTGACTTCTTCCCAGGACTCATGACTCTCCCAAGGTGCATACCCTCCCAAGTTCCCAAGCCCCCAACCATGCCACATATGGAAGTCCCCACCTGTCTAGAATGCTTTCCAGAGACTTTCCCGACCATTCCTCCCTTGCCTCCCTTCCCCCACCCCAGCCCCTCTCACTGTTTCCTGCTGCAGCTCAGACCCAGTTCAATGAAGTTGAGGGTGGAGGGCAGATTCTGTCTGCGGTGCAGCAGCTCTGCTTCTAGCTGAGGTAGCCATGTCTCAATACAGATCTGCTTTGGAGGTGAAAGCAAATTAAAATGGCAAACTCACTCAGTGATGATCAAACTTCTAAGGTCCTTAACAAGATCTCCATTTACTCCTCAATTACTAATAGAAAAAGAGAAAGATGTACTCTATTGTCCACCATTTGCATTCTCTGAATAGACTGTGTGTTACAATTAGCCCCCCTCATTAGCTCCGTCTCTAAGAATGGGTTTGCTGTGAAGCAATTGTGAGGAGCGTGCGTACTCTGCCATCTATTTGTGTAAAATAAAGTAGGCATAATCGCCAGCCTTCCAAAACAATAGAAAACCTTAGTACAAATCCTAAGCAATGATAATTTAAAATTTAATAATTCTTTTTTTAAAAGCCAAGTGATAAAGAATAGTTTTCTTGCAGACATTGGACAGTCAGCCTGCCTTGACTGTGTTTTTTAAAAAAATTAAGGGACTTTCTCTTTCAAAGTCTGTTGTCTTTCAAATGGAATTCTTTTCTTGTTTGCCTAAATGCCTTTCACATGATAAAAGATATTTTTCAAATTAGATCACCTCAACTTAAAATACAGTTACCTATTATCAGCCAGCCTGGAGCATAAAGCATTTTAAGAAGTCTCACAGATCCATTTTATTTTTTAGAGTTCAGAAGTTTCATGGATCCTTTTCATTTTTTAGGATTTTTAAAATAAAACAAATATTGTAATTTGTAAATTCTTAGGATTTGAGACAGAAATATTGCTCACAGTATCGAGTATTCCACATTAGTCAATAGCGAGCAGGTAAATATATGTATTTCTAAATGAAGGGTAGCTCTGGAAATTAGACAGCCATTTTACTACATAAAGTATTCTTGGACAAACCAAGAAAGTATGTCCTTTCTTTTTCCAGCACAGTTTTGTAAATGGAGTATAAAATGTATTTGGAGTTTTGATAAATTTATCACATGCCAAGTATTTCTTTGCACAATGTCTGTCTAGTTTGTGCCCTGAGGGCAAAACAATGTATCATATTCTTGCATTACAGTTTTGTGGTGGCTGCTCACAGGCAGGTCATATCATCCTACTTTCATTGTCATTGGCAGTGCTATTTTGTTGAATATCAGTTTTGATGTGATTAATGCTTATTTCCCAATTTCACCTTGCATTTTCTTCTAAATTTTATGTTTGATAAAATAGCTCAATAGTAGTAATTAAACCTCTCCTCACAAAGGTATATCTTTATATTTCTCAATGCTTGTCTTTCTAGCAATGAAATCCACATTAAAAACATTTCTGGGAGAAGATAATTTATTTGTTATTTTTGAATTGCTTAAAACTATTAATACAGTATGGAAAAATAATGCTGGGTAAAAATAGAATTGATTCTATATCAAATAGGAATTTGTTTCCTTTACTGCCTTCCTTTTGGCAATGTCTGTGCAGGTCTTCCCACACTTTGGCTAGTTCAGTAAATACATTCAGTTTAGGTATATTTTAGTTCGCCACGTCTGAAGCTCAGGCAAATTGCCGCGCTAAGTTTTGAAAAATAATTTAGGAGAAACTTGCACATATTTTGAGGACGCGGGGTGTAACCTCCCATGGCACCGAGACAAGCGACATTCTGTTTGGTGCAAGGGGCGAAAAACACGACCTAACGGTGTTTACATGTGTATTCAGCCATGAAATTGAATATTATCAAAGTTGAAAAAATGCAAATCAAATTAAAACCAGAGAAAATTGTCTTTGGAATTACAGCGGCCTGGAGCCCCCAAGTGTTTGCTTAAATTGAATCATTTAGAAAAGAAAAAACATCTAAACTGCCCCCTCACTCTTCTCTTCCGCTCCCACCCCAGGCACGAACCTTGTTCTCTAATTCTAGTAGGAAATGTATCAAAGTTGAGGCACAAATAACTCGCTCTAGGACAAATAACGTTGGAATATATATACATGTGTATATAAAAATTAAATGCCGCCCTCTATTTAGGTGTTCACAGAGTCGGACCAGCTTCCGAAATAAAGCAGCACCCACTTTCCTCATTCCTGGGTGAGCCCCTAGCCGCGGGCTGGCGGCCTGGCTCAGGCTCCTCGCGAGTGGCCCGGGGACCTTCGGAGCAGCCTTCCTCGGGCTCGGGCTGCGGGAGCTGGAGCGGGAGAGGGTGCTCGGGCTCGGGGAGGGCGGCGGGAGCCCGGGTACCCGGGGCCAGGCAGCCGGGGTCGATCGGGCGCGATGGGGTCGGCAGAGCAGCCGGCCGACCCCCCGAGTCCTCGCGGGTCCGTGGGGCTGTCCGGGTTTGGCGAGCTCCTGCTGCCGAGATGCGCCAAACACGGAACCCGGGTTGGCCCTCCGGGGGGTTCTCTCGCCCCCTCCCAACGCTCACTTCGCTGACATAGGACTTCCAAGGTTCTTAGTGGAGGAGACCACGAAAGGAAAATGCCTGCGAAATGTCACTGGGGGTCGGGGGAGAGATCGAAAAGAGCACGAGGCAGACGGACTGTCATTCTCGCTTTTCCCCCACAAGTTCTAGAGAGCGCAGGGAACCGACCCTAGGCAGCCAGTCCCCACCCGACCCGGCCTATCCCACCCCAGTCACCATGGGCTCGGTTAGCTGTATTCCTCTCCCGCCCTCCCCATCGCTCTCCCGCCTCCGGGAGCACTGGCAAGTCCGGGGTTTCTCCTGCAGGTGCCAAGGTCGGCCCCGTCTGGGAGAGCCCGCTGGGCACCGCGCAGAGGAGAGCCGGGCGAACAGGCAGACCGCCTTGGGGCAAGACTGGAAGCGCAACCCCGCTGCGGTAGGAGCGGGACCCAGGCAGCCACGCCCATCAGTCTTAGTTGGGGACACCAGAGGGGGCTAGGATGTGCTGGCACGGCCCTGGAGACACTTTCATCCCATTTAGTGACCTCAGGATTTTCGTTTCGCTCCCCTAGCCTGCACTTTCTCTTCTTCTAACCGTCGTCCACCCTGCTCCAGCCCAAGCTGCACCGTATCCGACCCGATATGTCAAAAGGAGTTCGAACTCTTTTTCCTCTGGGGAGGAGAAAGAGTGGGTGGCCTCCGCGTCATTCTGTCTTCCCTTCCTCCTCCTCAGTCCTGATAGAATCGAAAGGCTGCCCTTGTTCAAGAAACATAATAACTGCACTCCAGCTGACTCCGATGGGGGCGGGGGGTCGAGTAGTGGAAGCCCATTTTATTTGAAACCTGTCCCTATATTTTCCTTTCCAGGAACCCCTTGATAAAGACCAGCTCAACCATGGCTGAGAAAACAGACTCAGGCTCCCCAGAGCGGTTAACCCGCCCGCCTCTGGGCAGAGACTGTAATTGGGGTCGTGTTTGGGAGACTCGGGACCCTATTTCCAAGGAGAGCTGTGGGGGACTTGTTTATGTTTGTTGTTTTCAAAATCAAGCAAAGGAAACAACAGCCAATTAAAATGCAATATTTTTATTCCCCTCGCACGTCGTCAGTGATTTGCCTCCAGGGACTCACAATTTTCCCAAGCCTGTTAACGGGTGACAATGAGTGAGTGCCTCCTGTAATTTAATTTTCCTGTCACACTAAATAGAGCTACATTGTAAACCTTAGATCTACTCTTACTGATAGGATCGCCTTGTTTTGCCATTTGCACCATAAAGACCCCCAAAAGGGACACTGTATTGTGACCTCTACTCTTGAATTATTCAAGAACTTAATGACATTTTCCATTTTAAAAAGGGAACTAATTGCCATTGATGCAAAGCATGTGACCTTCTCCCAGTACCCAGTATGAGAATGTAATCATCTGTATGTGCATAGAGGGCTGAAGAAGGCGGGTACAAACAGGAAAAACACATGCAATCATAACCAGCTCAAAATGGACACTGGAATCAAGCGTAGGGTTTAATTTCACCCCAAACCATGACACACAGCTCCACAAAATTCCCTTCACCAGACCTAAAATCTGCATAAAACCTCACATCAATTCAGGCTCATTTTGGGGGACATGACATGACTTTTTAGCTAGGACTGGAACATTAAAAGTTTTGATAGCTAGTATGCCTTTATAAATGTAAAATTACTTTGATGTCAAGCAAAATATCTAATAATTTGCCTCCCTTCTTTTGTGGCTCTTTAAAATTATTTACTTACTCAAAAAAGAAAAAGAAAATCTCATAAATTGGGATGGAACCGCATCTCAATATTTGCTGTTTGAATCAGTCTTGAGTTTCTACTAAAGCTGTTACTGAAATTCTTCAATAACTAGAATTATCTCTCTTCAAATAACTTGGAAATGGATGCTTATCTTTTTTTTTCTTCTTCTTCTTCAAAGAAAAGAAAAAACAAAAGAAAACAACCACAAAGAACTCCCAGTGTGTTTTCTACTCTTCTTTTACTTTTTCTCGGAGGAAAGCGAAGGGAGAGAAATGGACTTCACCAGTGTTCTTTGGCTTCAGCAATTCACAGGTCAGTGTGCAGAGATTCTGGGATGCTGTTCCTGGTCTATCTGAGTCAGTCCACAGCAGGTATTAACCACTTTTAAAGTGCGAGTGGCATTAGGAGGTTGGGAGCAAAGCACTTTCTTGTGCTGAGCTGCAGATGCTTCTTTTGAACTTTGAATGATGCCTGGGACAAGGAATGGTCATTTCTGCAGGGAACAGACAGTTCCTTTTAGAAGGACGCTCTCACAAACTACCCCCTTCCCCCGGGCTTCACTGAGAACTAAGTATCCTTTCTGTGTTTGGCTGTGAATCCATATCTCTATCTTGTAGAATTTCTGGAAAAGGAAAATAAAGTACATTTGAACACCTAATTTGACTTTTATGAACCCCACGTTATATCAACATGTTTGACACAACTGGTGCTGGTGCAACCCGAAGTTGTACAAAGCAGAAAGCCTGACACTCCCTCTGTCAAAGTGTATCAAATGCCATTTAAAGAGAATTGCCATAATACTGTTATTACCCCAGTTGTGTAATAGAGCAACTGTTTTCCTATTTCTCTAAAAGAAACCTGTTTCTCTCCCTGGTATCTTGTGCTTTTTAGTTCTGTAACATGGTAAGAGAAATGGAGTAAGGTTACATAGTTCTCATTGTTAAATAATAAAGACATATTTAAGAAATATATTTGAGACATTTTCAAGTCATGAAAAACAGGGATATGTATGAGAGGAGTGGCCAGCCAGCTTCTTGCATGTCCCCTGTGATAAAAGCAATGTTTTATGAGGCAAATGTTAATTTAGTTTTAGAGATTTTTCACTTAGTTTTCTGCATTTAAAACATTTTATAACAATTTGAGATCGACTATAAGACAGAATAAATGATAAGTGTCTCTCATTGCATTCTGTAGTGTTACAATCCAGGAATTTTTTCACAGTGACAGTATACTTTCAAAATGAAATTTTAATTCACTGTTCATGTTGTCATCATGGATAAATGACAGTCATGTTTCTTTTCATTTTAAAAAACAGCTATCTTGATCAGGGACCACTTGAAGGACATGTTAAGATTGCGGTGTCTTTAGGGCAGAGCAAAGTCCTCTTCTGGCCGCATTCTGAGATCTCATCCTCTTCTGAATGGATATCTGTGTTGGTAATCTGGAATGCCATGGGAGACATTCACTGAGTTCAAGTGAATGCTTTTAGAAGAGTTGCAAGAGATTCTGATTGAGCACTATGTTTCACCCAATTCCTGTTCCCACTCTTTCCCTCCAATATAAAAACAACGTTGGAAAGCATTCCCATTTGGCCTCTGTAAAAGGGTAAATGAAATACCTATCTCATTTTAGTTCACCTGTAAAACGGGTTTCTCATTTCTCAGTCAAGCCTGGTGTGAAGGGACACATTGGACTTTAAATTATTTTATACCCTTTATCTACTTTTTTTAAAAGATCTGAACTGTTGATGTACAGTTTTTAAAATACTAGAGCTAGCAAAAGTTGACAACTTTCCATCTGATTTTATTTATTGAAACGTGTGCATTACATATATTTACTGGACTTCTTACTGTCCATTTTTCTTCCCCTAGGAAATGGCATCAAGATAGTTCAACTGAGACATGGGCACTAAAAATATTATAAAAATACCTTTTTGAAAAACTCAGTTTCTCCTGTTTAGTAAATATTTATTTCATCAACATGGGCTGCGTTCCACTGTGTCAGGATTCTGCATGTGCATGGAGCACTGTTCCAGCCTGAGAAGATGGTTCTGAGGCCACTTAGCAAGACATATTCCAGCATGAGCAGGTTTCTCTGTGGAAATAGTGACACCCTGTTCTGGTGTGTTGTCTTTCCTCGGGGAACTTAGGAGGTACAAAGCTCCTGAAAATGTTCTTTATGCTGGCTGAAGTTCTTATGTCACTATACTGATTCCCTATGATGCAGATTTGAATCACAGAGTAATTAAAACATGGATCAAGTAAGCCTGGGGTTCACCAAGGCTGCAAGCTGTAGCCATTCAAGGCATCATTTCTGTCATGAAAATATAGGACCTTTTCAAAACATGCCTTCAGGATGGTGTTCCCTTTTCAAACAAAAGTCTAATGACTGCATAACTCTTCTTGACCACACCTGACATTTTCTCTAGGTTTGCTTATTTACAGCTACTGGAACAAAAAGATGAGACAAGAAAGCACACTGATTGTCCTAAGAGTCTTCTGTGACTAAAAGCGCATGAGCTTCTCCCCAGGCTGAGCTTTGACCCTCCCAAGCATTTCCCCAAAGGCCATGACACTGCATCGGATTGCTTCTGGACGCTTTCCTCAGAGTTTTCAACCAATATAAACCGAAGAATGGAACATAGCACCAGATTTGCTAATCAAGAGGCAATGGTCCCAGTCCAAATGGTGCTGTGTGTGAATACAGAGCCCAGGAGAAGGGAAGGAGGTACATGAACATCGGGAGCTGCAAAATCTTGCTGAACCAATAGACCAACAGCCATTAACATTTGTCAGTGCAAAGATCCTAAAATATGCAAGTGTGGATTTGTCCTGCTGTAAGAACTGAAGCTGTGACAATCACACTGCCATGGACATTTAAGCTCCTCTGAGGTTACTGAATCTAACAGTGAATAAACAATGAAGAGTAGCTAATTTTTGGAAATCCTTTTCTATGACCGGAAGGTATTCACAAACTCAGAGTGATTGTTTGGGGTGAAAGATGGTCCCATGCCTTGCGGGCCTCTCTTTGCTATCTATTCAACGTTGGAAATGAACCCCTCCCTTACAGGAAGGTGAATAGCAACCAAAGTGAGCCCACCCTGGGAGGGCAGAGTGGGTGTACTTTCCTCAAAGAGCCCTGAACACAACAGGGCACACAAACAGCCAGAGCACCCTCAACAATACCCCATCATCTGCCCACCAGGGCACACAGATTCACACAGATTCAGTGACACATTCCAAAAAAAAAAAAAAAAACGGAATTAGGGAGGACCCATAGCATGGCCAATGTGTAGAGAGCTTTACTACTCTTAGCGCCATTGCTAATTATTGGAGCAAAGAAGGGCACACAAGGAATGGAACCCAATCTGTTTAAAGTAATAAATGTCAACCCTAAAGTGCATGGAACTCTCTCTCCTTCCCTTTTGAGGGCTGTGTGCTTCACAAGCTGGGCATTTGCTGCACGGGGTTTTCTAATATAATGTGAATTTTCAATGTGCTTTGTCTCTGTAGAGTGGCTTTAAAAAGCCCTTGAAGTCCTCAGCTTTAAATCCATGCTAATAGGGGAAGTCTTTTTTTTCTTTTTTTTTGGAGGTGGGGAGCTTTGGTTGGGAGAAACATTGACCCAGACTGCACTCTGGGTAAACTAGGGCAAAAGACCTGATATCGTCTGCAGGGTACTTATTAACCACTGTTCATTTGCAGGATCAATATTTCCAGCAAAGGAGTCAACACTCAGGATACACTGCTACGTCTCACTTTTTCCTTGACACAACAATTTATTTTATAAATGCATCTGCTGGAGAAGAAAAGGCAGTACCAAGGATTGTGTCTTTTATCTCCAGGATATGCAAAGCGCATTTATTTTCGGCTTTTATCTCTGGAATTGTATGTTGATCCCATACATATAGATTGATTTTGTTCAGGTAGATAATGAAAAGTCAAGTGGAAAATTACACAATGGCATTCACGATCCTAGTCTTATATCGGTATATAAATTGGTTTATTATTTCATTCTATTAAAGAGGCTTTTTTGTGTGTGTGTGTGTTTTTTTTTTGGTACCCGGAAAACTTCAAAATGCATTGTGTTGTTAGCCTCACTGAATTTTCTTTTGGAGGAGAAGGTGGGGAGGGGAAGCCGAAGCCCCGATTTCTCCTACTCCTTTTGCTAATTGTATTGGCTAAATGAGCTTTCACAGAGGGAGGTCCTGGCTGCTTTTTGCTCTCCCCCAGCCCACTTGTAGGTTGCACACAGGGCTTCTGTAACTCTTTCTGGGTCAGGACAAAGATATCCACCGTGTACACCCTGTGACAAAGGTGGATATTTATTTCACCCCGGGCAATTCTAAATTTTGTCATGATGACTGAAAGAGGCAATCTCCTCCTGAGCACTAAGAGGCCAGGGGTGAGAGGGTGGCAGCATAGAAAAGCCACCACCCAGAGACAGCTTGGAGCCACAATCCTGGAGGAAATGTTATTAATAAACATCTTTTGGACATTTGGTAGCCCGTGGAGCTTGCTCCAGCTTAAAGCAATTAATTCAGGACACTGACATAAACTCTCCAGATCTTTGACAGCTTGGAGCCGAAATAAAAATGCTAGTTCTCCGGGGAAGAGAAGAGGATGGCTAGCCCTTTTCTGGACTGTTTGCTTATAGGCCCAGAGAGCAACCTTCCTTGCAGAATGAAATGCAAGGGCACAGACAATGTACCAGGGAGAGAATAGAAGATGGGAATGAACAGTTTGAACTATTTGCTCAGCAGAAGGGCACCACAATGCTGGGGTAGTGGTTTTCCCATGCGTCCACCGTCCCTTCTTTGGGATCTTTTGTTGTCCCCTGTCTCCTTTGGCCAGATAAGAGCACAGCTGCAGCATTGCAGCTAAGTAAGGCCGTACTTATCCCCCTAAATCTCGGGGTGCCTTTACTGTAACAAGTTATGCTTGGCTTTCTTTTATTTTACAAGAGGATGGTGAGGGAGAGAATGGAAGAACAGAGGGGATGGACGTATAGGACACTGACACTGCCTATGTCTGATTTCTTTCTTTCTTTCTTTCTTTCTTTCTTTCTTTCTTTCTTTCTTTCTTTCTTTCTTTCTTTCTTTCTTCTTCTTTTCTTGCAAGCTGTGATTAGATGCAATCTTTGTGGGTCATTTAAATGGAAGGGTTCAGTGATGTGTATTGCTTGCCAAGCCAAAATGTTGCCTTTTGGGGAAAAGGGGGAGAGGTGCTCATGGAGTGCAGAGAAAGGGGTTTTGGGGCAGAGATTTTGGTTTAAAATAACCAGACTTCTTCTGGCTGCTGAAAAGAGGAAAAAGTTTTAAATTGTCAAATTTAAAACTGTGTTCAGTTATGATTTGCCACTTCTGAGTATTATTTTGGATTTCCCCTTTCCATGCTTATTTTGTTCAGAATCCTAATGAATAGAGGTTGCTGGACTCAGGGTAAAAGCAGGATGAACTGGAGATGGGACATACAAGGTACTTTTGTAATTGCCATAGATTACATCTATAATCAGAGTAAATGTCATCAACAAATAATCAAAATATTTTTTACATTTGCTCTTCTAAAATCAGAGCCTATTTTAAATATAAGAGAAAGTAGATATGATAATGTAAACTACAGTTATGTTAAGTTGATATTAAAGTCAAAATCTAACACAGATTTGCACTGTTGGGTGTGTGTTCTGATTCACTGAGTTTTTCCACGGATGTTGATTTTGGGAGCCAGGCTTCAATGTTTAATTCTATTGTAATGTGGTTATTTAGCCTGAATGGTTTTATAAGGTGAAAAGGCAAAAAAATTAATTCCAAAGAAAACTAATGGTTTACTATGATTGCGTTAAACATTTCAGAAGCCCACCTGTGGGAAATACAAAGTATTAATACTGTGTGTTATTTTGCTTTTGTATTTTTGTCTCACCGACAAAACTGGCAGAAAAAAAATGCTTTCGTATATTTTTCCTGCTGGGTGGTCAGAAGGAAAGGCCATGAAGCTAAAGGTCTCCCATTGAGACGCTGCTCTGCAAAGAGCCGACCTCACGTGCCGCTGCCAGAGAAGAAAGCACCTGTTCATCTCGGCTCACTGTGGGTCTGAGCTCAGCACTGGCAGGCGAGGGGCCGCACGCCTCCCCCACAGCCACCGAGAGGGCATCCCTGCAGGGAAATCATATCCAACGTGCCTGTGCCCACACCAGACTTAAGACAGCCTCTAAAATGTCCATGAAGCCATTGTCCAGTAGAGCTGTTAGTTTTAAAACCAGTGAGTATTACCTTTGGTTAAAAGGATGCATGTGTATAGGCGTGTGTGTGTCTGTGTGTGTATGTGTTTGTGTTTTTGGACTTGTGTGTGATATAGGGAAAGGGTACGGAGAATGAAGAAAGGGTTCCATTAGGCATTTGCAAATATTTGATGGCATCATGAAAAGACAAAAACATCCTATAAAATATATCATATTTTTCTATGATTTTGTGTGTACCTATAATAAAATTATTAAGTACAAATTGTTCTGTATTTCTTTTGCAAGCATAAATTCTAAAATTTTGTATTTTGTACAGAATAATTCATATCACATAATAAGGGAAAAAATGCATTTTTTTTCCCGATTAGGTGCTTAGACTAAATACATCTGGTTTTTTTGGGGGGGGGAAACTGAGGCCAAGATGGAAATTGTAGTCTGCCTGGGTGAATGTAATTCTTTTCTCTAATTCTTGACATAGAGAAAAACTTGCCCAGGGAAATTTTTCCATTATGGCATTTTAGCATTAATCTGAAAATCATGTGGAATCACTGAGGATAGCTCAGGGAAATAAGTGAAACTCTTCTTCCATTAAAAGAATTTCCTGCCCTTGAGGCTATGCATTTCCACAACATGGGAAATGGGTTTTTATTTCCAATTTCTACAAAGAGTACGCATGCAACTGGTATCCATACAAAGCCCCACGTGTTGGGAGGCCACTGAGGGAGGAGCAGAGCTGCAGCGAGGGCAAATGCACAAATAACAAATCAAGTTTAAAGACCGTGGTCAAAGGCAAGGAGCAAATGATACTGATCTTATATGTGAGGGGCTTGGACATCACACCAGCTGCCGCGGAGTTTGATTAATGAGGCATTAAGGAGATGGAGTGACACTTACAGCTAGTTACTTATGGTGCTAATTTCAAAACACTTTGCAATAGACAAAGAGACTCTGCTCATAATGCAAAGTAATTTGTGGTGTGTTCCTGGTGAATGCATTTAGCGAAGCAAATATAGTTATGCGGAATTTAAATTAAGGTTGACACTAATGTAAACAGAGCCCAAGAACCACTGTCCCCAATAATTTGATGAGGACACAGGTTTTAATCAAGCCTCTTCCACTAAAATAGCAATTTAAATCCCTATCGTTTAAACTGGATAAAACGCTTAAGCCGTAAAGGTTGGGGGGGAAAATAGAAATTTACTTGAAAATAAAAATGAAATATCTCTGGGGGAAATCTTGACTATGTTTTGACCCAACTGGGATGTACATGTCGATTTAAATGCCAGGTTGATTTTGAGGCCAGATTCCAGGTATTTGAAGGCATTTGCTATGTATCTTTTCTGTTGTTGTAAAGTTATGGTTGGACACATTCTGGTTGTATTGATCTCAGAGTAAAAATGCTCCTCGTAATAAGAAAATGGAGATTCTGATTCCGAGGCCCCAGAATCATTTATGTATTAAAGGAAGAAATCTACCTGCTTCTCCCGGCAACCAATTTCTATTTGAACTAAAAAATTCAAAATTGAGGGAATATGAGGAAGGAGCGTGGGCCTGGTTAGAGACCCTGGCCAGCCATTGGAGAAGTCAGTTTTTCTTGAGGGTACCACGTCTGCACATGGCTTTGTTCGGGTTTGCCTATTTATTTCCCTTACTCAGATTCACTGGGGAGGGGGTCAGCCCAGTCATTAACATTAATTAAAATGCCAGCAGCCTAGGTTCCAGGGCCTGGGAGGCCTTGTATATGGGAAACAAAACCAAACAAAATAGCAATTTATTCTGCCCTACTCTTGGAAAATAAGCGGGAGTTTGGCAGCACTTCCTGGGGCTCCGGACTTTACAGCAAAAGAGCAGGAGGATAAGGTAAATCAACCCTGAATTCTCCGAATTATGACCCTGCCTTCTCCAACCACATTCATGATGTATCTTCTAGGGAAAGGAATTTGTCCAATGATGTGTTTTTAATACCTGTTCTGAAGAAAGGGCCGAGAACTATCTGGGGAGGAATAAAAGCTGTAAACGTAAAGTGCTCTGAAAATGCTCCTAGCAGTAATATTAATGGTCACCCAACTCAAGGACTTAAAGTCAGGAATGGAAGGGAAATGGGAAGCTGGAGACTTTGACATTTGGGGGATGAAGAGGGGTCCACCACGAACTGAGCACTGATTATGAACTTAGCACCACGGGCACAATTAGGAAGAGGGTCTCAAACAGAAGCAAACGGAGCCCAGGGAGGTTAAATTATGTTCCGAAGGCCACACAGGCTTTGCAGGCAGGGCCAGACTGCTCCGACTGGCTCAGTCCCTCCTAGGAAGGACACCCTGTTCTCTCAGTCCCCGTTACCATGTGGTCCTAAAGTGGATACATCATCATGCTGCTTTGGGAAGCCTCCACTCCACGTCTGGCAGGTAAACAACATCTGAAACTCCCATCCTGCAAACATGCAAAAGAGGGGAAGGGGAATTTGCTACTCCAGCCCTTGGAAGTTAGAGGAAATGAATGGAAGGTCATCGATGTTCATCACAGTTGCAAGGACAGCAATCCCAAAAACAGTGATTCTACATGGCTCTTTGTGTCTATAAAAAGACAGATCTTTGACATCTGAACGTCGGGCCTTGTAGGCAGAGGAGAGAGAAGCCCAGCCAGGTCTGCCTTAGGAGACACAGCTGGCAGTCAGGCTCCTGCTCCCTTCTCTTAGACAAGAAGGAGCAAAGGGGATGGAGGGTTGTAGGGATGGGAGGGCCGGTGGGAGAACTGAGTGTGCAGGCCAAACTTGGAATGTCAGGGCATCTTCCAGAATGATGAGTATATATGTGTTTTTAAGAAAAAAAGATTTGTTGGGTGATGACTTTGGGGACCCCCAGGCTTAGGTTCCTCTACTCTCACCTGGCATCCCTGCTGTGGCCATGGGGAACAGTACCCTCGGCCAAAAAGCACTTGGCATTGATATAGAATTTTGATTTCTACTCTTGGGAGGCACCGTGTGCCAGGCCTGTGTGTGTGTAGGCCAGAGTGACACAAAGTCACCGCTCAGGGCAAGCCCCGAGCCCTGGGGGTGGGATATGTGCTTCCCTCACCTGTGCTCCCTGGGGATGCGCCTGGCCGGCATTCCACTTGGCTCCTCACAGGGTGCTGGCTGGTTGGAGCCCCTGCTGCTTGTGGCCGTGACCAGCCTAATGATGCTTCCCAGAGTTGACTTTTCCTTCTTGCCAGCCTCAGCTTCCCCAAGGCCTCACTCCTGCTTTCCGAGGTCACCTGCCTGAGGCTGCACACACACACACTCTTCTGGTTTCCAGCAGAGAGAACTGTCCTGTCTGTCTCCCCGAGGCTGCAGTGCTGTCCAGGCAGCCAATATTGGAGGAGCAGCATAGGGGAGGCCTTTGGCTATTTCCTTCATTTTACTGTTCAAATCAGGGTTCTGGAGATCTCATGACTCAGATCACTTGTCACACACTCTCAAAAGCATCTTATTTTTTTCTTGTGCTGAAACACTGATACAACATTTACTTGAGGTGTGGGAGCATTTTCATCCTCATGGCCCCAGACATGGGTGAAAGGTTTGGAAATGCCAACTCATCTCTTGGCCTCAGTTTCTCTCCTTCATCAGAGGATAAACAAAACAAACAATCTCACAGACCATTGTGAAAAAGTTTGTTTTGGAGAGCATTTTGGAAGTGAATGATGTCGGAGATGCATTTTGGCGTCATTTTCTGTTATAGAAATGTGGGGTGGGAATAGATGTGACCAGAGTAGATGAGTATGCAGTGCTGAGCTCTTGACTTTGACCAGGAGTCCTCACGTTCTTTCACCTGCTCTGTGAAAGAAATCTTGCCCAGCCTCTTGATTTGGAATCTCAGTGCAAACCCCAACATCAACAAAGTTGCTATGGATTTTTATGATTATCTTAAGAATTTGTCTCAAGTGAGGCTCGAGTACTCTCAGGAGAAGGGGTGGGGATCCTGAGCTGCTCCCCTGCTGCTCTCTGTGGAGCACACGTCACCCTCTTCTCTCCTTTCCAGTCTCTGCATTGCAAATGCCTCCTTCTCTAGTGCAAAGCCTACTTTCTTACAAGATCCAATATCTTCTTCCATGTAACTCTGGGCCAAAGGACTTACACTGACTTCCTCTTAAATAGGGAAGAGATGGCTGAGTTCCTATCACCCTTAAAGCACTCCTTCTTTACAGGAAATATTGACCCCTTCCACACCACACCACAATACCCTCCTGGACACAGCCTGAGATCTCAGGACAGTGGCCTGGCCACTACAAGGGTCCTGGGATGTCCGGGAAGGCTCTTTCCAGGCCCCAGCTCTTCTGCTCAGTTATTCCAATGAAGACTTAATTCTGTGGGCTCATGTGGGCCGTCTGTGGTCAAATGTCAGCATTTGTGGTTGAGACTCCTCTTAGAGAGGCAGCTGGGAGCGGTAAGCCCCTTGTCCTGCTGAATGGGTAACAACAAGTTGGCAGGGACTGGGTAGGGGTGAGGGAGATTCTCCATTGAAATCTTAGATCAAAATGATGAGATTTAGATCATTTGTTCAATGTGAGTCTTCTAACAAGCATTTTTAGGGCTATCTCCAAGATTGGGTTGTTTCTCCCAGATTTTTAGTTCTAGGTTTCGCCTCCTCTCTCCCTTTGCCTTCTTTCTCACCTCCAGGGTTAGAGGGGTTTTCTGGTGTGCCTCCTGCCTCTTTGTCAGGCCTCAGGTTCCCAGCCTATTAGGCTCTGCTGGTGTTGATCACAATTTTTACTTTCTTCTACAAAATTCTCTGTATGTGCAGGGGTATTGGCAGATCTCCCAACCCCAGAGTATTTGTATAACCAATTCATTATGTAGGGTCTGATTTGTTTTTTGTTTTTTTTTCTTTCCTGATAAATAGAAAAATTTTTGTTTTGCTTAAAATGCTATTTTCCCAATGACTCTGCTTTATAGACTACCTCCAAGCAACGGGTCTACTTGTTATTTATGAGCAGTGTTATAAAAAATAGAGATGAGGGGTGGATTCTGATGGCTTAGGGAAATTTCTGGGGTTATATAACTGACCATGCTAGTTATCCATGAGGTAGAGAAATACCAGGTGAGGTGTCCACTGGCCTAAATCTGCAGGATATTTTTCATATTTTTATGAAACTCCCAATTCACATTCTTTTGTTACTTAAGAGTTAGTTGGTCAAGGTATTGGTGATATCTCCACTCTCTGTTTTTAAAATTATTTACCAAATCCTTTCAGTCCTTCCTTCAATTTTGCAAAAATGAAAGC